TACTCATCTGCTCGACGTGATCTCCTCCAAAGGGGAAAGACTCAAAATATGATACAGTATGCATTCCGGGGATGAAAATGCAAACTTGGAATGACTATTCTTTCAAACGTTTAAAGTAAGATTCTTGGGTTTTGTCATCTTGGAAGCAAGTTCTATGCCTATTTAATTCACACAGTGAACTAAAAAAGTGTATCTTGAAATATCTTCCCAACAAACTGGGAATAATAATCCCTTGGTTGACTTGTAACAGATAGGCATTTATTCAGCAAATGATTTGACTCTCAGAGCAACTGGACGTCATCTTTCAGGACAACCTATAATGTTGTACCCCCAAGTTTGGGAACAATGAAATAGAGAATTTGGTTATATGGGAGTAATTTAGGCCATGGTGGACTTAATCATTTTTAAATGTTTAAAACTGAGAGTGGTTAATTTTAATAATTGACTTTATTGCTTTTTTCCCTGAACAACTTGAGACCATTGAAATCTATAGCACTTCTTAGATTTGGGTCTGTTCCTTTCGCCTAGCCTTTCCTTCTGTAAAAGACTTTTGAAATGATGGCCAAATTGCACAGCTGCCAACAAAGCATGCTTAAAATAAGTACTTGGCTATCATTATTTCACTTTTCATCATTCTACACTTTCGAATAGAAGTTTTTATTTTCTCAGATTATTCCAATCTATGAGACAAGGGCCAAGGATTCAGTGTGCCCTTATTAAAACAAATTAATTAGAAGGCCATTAGGCTAAGATGGTGTCTTGTGTCTTACATAAGCACATGGAAACCTAACAGTGGAAGGAAACTTAAACCAATCAGAAACTGCCAAGTGACTTCTAATGAGAGCTTGTGCCAATCAGAAACCACCCACTAATCTCCGGGACTTTCCACTCTGACCAATCAAATGCTTCCTTTGTCTTGCCTGTGCAAACACATCTTACAAAATCGCTTTCCTACACGCCTTCTAGGTGGAGCTTACACTGCTTGTGGTTTGGTGCTGATTCATGAATTAGTCTGCTCCAAAAAAATGCTACAACCTTTTTTTTTTTTTTTTTTTAAGATGAGTTTCGCCCTTGTTGCCCAGGCTGGACTGCACCTCCGCCTCCGGATTCAAGTAATTCTCCTGCCTCAGCCTGCCAAGTAGCTGGGATTACAGGCATGTGCCATGACACCCAGCTAAATTTTGTATTTTTAGTAGAGACAGGGTTTCGGCATGTTGGTTAGGCTGGTCTCGAACTCCTGACCTCGTGTGATCCACCTGCCTCGGCCTCCCAAAGTGCTGGGATTACAGGCACAAGCCAGTGTGCCCAGCCTAAAAAACTACAATTTTAATGCACCTGAGTTTATCTTTTAACATACTTCACCCTCAAAGTTCCCTGCTGTGTTTTAACATTACCCAAAACACATTTAAAAGTGAAGCTGGGCTAGGCTCCCCACAAGAGCCCATTAATAGAATTACATGCGAGGAACAAGGAATTAAAGTAGGTGCAATTTTTTGAGGCACCATCGTCAGAGATAAAGACAGAAGCAAAGTCCCACAAGGTCATGGACCTGGCTGAGTACAAACCTGGGGCAGGTGTCAGAAAGAGGAGACCTCAGGGCACCTGACTGTCTGCACTCTGGGCACCACTTGGCCACCAGTCCTAACAGAGGCAGTCACTGAGGGCTCCCGTGGCAAGCAGTCACCTCCTGCTCAGGCTACTCGGAGTTATTTGTTAAATGAACATACAATGAAGAGACAATCCCCTCACTCACTGCTGATAGTGGCGAAGGGAAATCCATGAGCAAAGCAGCCTGGGTTCAGGGAACACTGAACAAACCTGCCTGGGTGGAGAGAAAGAGCCTGAGGTCAGGCAGCAGTCTGCAAAGCCACCCAGCAACTCCAACACAGTTCAGAGCTAATGCCCTTGACTCCAGGAGACTTTTGCTGTGTCTAGCAAAGCAGGATTTACAAACGAGGGTAAAGAAAGACCAGTGGGGAAGCGTGAAGAAGCCCAGCAAGAACCTACACAGGCGATGAGGACCTGGGTTACAGCACCAGCCCAGGGAAACAAAATAGAGGGCTAGGGAACAGGGTAGATGCAGTGGGGCGTCACCGTAACCACGGAGCGGAGGGCAAAGGTGACAGGAGTAAACACAGGCTTCGGAAGGCCCTAGGGAGGCCTGCCAGGAGGCTGGGGAAGGCACCTGCCTCCAGGGGCTGCCACCGTGCCAGACGCCACTCCATGCGCTGCATGACTAAGGCCCCAGTGAGACGCTGCCACCTCTGCCCCCAAGAACCCAAGCGCCTTGGGATCAGAAGGAGGAGGCCTCAGCACAGATAGGATGCGGGCAATCTTTGTTGACACCGCGAGCCCTAAAGATGTTCCTGAAAATGTCCTTTGGCCTCCTGGGGGAACTGGTCAGGACCACAGCTCGTCCTGCATCACGGCTATCGCCCCACCCCAGCCCTGTCCCCTTCCAGGCAGCCTGTCCTTCCTTCCCTGGTGTTTGTGTCCAAAAGACCCCATAGATTCTCCACAACCTGTCTTTTACTCCTCAACTAAAAGGGAATGTCTTGTCACTATATCCCCAGCACACCACCAGGTCCAGAAATCCTCACTGGCACGTAGGTCCTCAGTGTTTGCTGAATAAATACATGAAAGCGCACTATTCCCTCTATCCTTTCCTGCACTTTTCCTCCCTCCTGAGCTGACTATCCTGTACTCATTGTTCCTGGAACTGTCAGTTGCTCTGGCAAGAGCTGTAGCTCTGCTGCTGCCTTCAGGCCTCACGGACTGTGGAAAGTCCCTGGACTGGGCTCTGGTCCTCGCCACTCCCAAAAGAGGCTCTAGCTCCCCAGGGCAGGGCCCAACCTCATTCCTGTGATATCTCACAGCTCAGCACAGGGCCTGTGTGCACACCTGTCAGGTTTTTTAAGGTGCCACTGGCTCTGCCTGGCCAGCACCTCCTCAGGCTCACCTTTCTCCTGCCTCTGAGTCATTCTTGTACCCACAGCCTCCTCCCACTGGGTCTGGTGTTCTCTGCAGGGCCCTGTGCAAATAAGGGGCTCCAGGACGCTTCCAGGGGCTGCTGGGATGGTTTGTGCTCAGTGCTAAATGCTGTTTCCACTCTGGTTCTCTTCCAAGTGCTCATGACTTAGATCAAATGACTGTTTAATAAATTAGTTGCTTGGGTAGAATGGAAAATGTTTATCTCTTCTATTTGGAAAGCGTAATGTCCCCAAACCACATAGGCTATGTACACAATAACATGTACAACCCTGCCCCCTCCCCTTCCAAAAAAATAGCCTAGCAGTTTAAAAAAACTATACCTGACCCAGCCAATCCTCTTGGAGCAGCTTTGAAACTATTAGTATAGGAAGTGCGTTTTCGTCCTAGCAGCTCCTCATCCAACAGCCTCAGGGAAGACAGCAGCATGCTGTGTCTCCATGCTTTCCTCTGTATGAATGAGCTGTTCAAGTTCTATCATTCAAGGTGACCCTTGCCCTTTGGGAGGTTGCATTCATTTTTTTGCTTGAGTGAATGTAGGTACAATTAAACATGATGTCTCAAGTTAAAAAGCTTCCATTTGGGATGTCAGGCAAAACTTTGTAAAGTGCTCCCTTCATTTCCAATGCCACAGTTTTGCTGGCACATGAGGCTGGCAGCAGTGTACATGAATGACACAGAGAGTACATGCATGTCTGGATGTGCATTCACACATGTGTAGCAATGGTTGATCCTATTCCAAAAAAAAATTCTTCACTGGAATGCATGACACCATGAAAAGAACAGAGGCTTATAAAGACACACTGAGTTCTTCCTGTCTTGGTGGGAAGTGGGTGTTTTAAGGTAGGACCCCAAATCAGAAAGGTTGGGTAAACGGCCCACAGTCACATAGCCAGTGAGTTCAACTTCCTTGGGTGCAGAGACATCCTTTTTAACGGTGAAGCTTTCCAGAGCCTGAATGAAAACATTTAAAATTTGATTTTGAACTTTTGACCTGCCGTTTGCTTTAGCTGTGTAAAAGTCAAAAGATAAGACCTGGAGAGAACCCCAACTTATTAGAAGACTTGAAGATTTCAGACACAGCCAGTTTTAAAATATTCAAAAACAAACAAACAAACAAAAAAAACACCTTGAAAGATTTAGAAGTCATCTTTAAGACTTGATTTGTTTAAGGTTTAAGGTTGTTGCCTGGAAAGCCCCCCACAATCCTGGGGTCCCTTGCATAAGGTGGAGATGAAAGTGTGAAAGTGATCAAGCCTATATAGAGAAACTGCTAGGCAATTTTAGCATACCAGGTTTCCAGTTGCAGCTGATCACTTGGCTCAGAGAAAACAGCTCCACCATCACCAAAGATACCAAAGGGGGAACCGGCAGAAAGGAGTAGAAACCAGTAGCCCTCAAGACTGAAGACCATCAGCATTAGACTCTAGGTCACCCCCCCCCCCACGCCCCCGCAGACGTGATCTAAGGGAACAAAATCTAGTCTTCATTTTAATTTTATATTTTTACTTTTTAATTCTTTATTTTTATTTATTTAATTTTGAGACAGAGTCTCGCTCTGTCACTCAGGCTGGAGGGCAGTGGCGAGATCTCGGCTCACTGTAACCTCCGCCTCCCGGGGGTTCAAGCTCTTCTCCCATGTCAGCCTCCCGAGTAACTGGGATTACAGACAGGCGCCACCGCACCCGGCTAAGGAAACCAAACCTAGGACCACCGAGTGGCTCTTTCCAGATCAGTTTCATCATGATTTTTTCCATCACTCCCTTCTAGTCCTTCGCTTCCCGCCCTTTCTAGACGAATCCCTTCTGGTTTCCAAACTCCCGGGGCCGGGGGACTCGGGGAGGGGACCCCAGGGGCGGCAGGGGAAGGGGACCCGTGCAGATGGGGGACGCCCCGGGGGTTTGGCAGGGAGAGGGCATCTGGGTGGGGGAGGCTTCGGGGAGAGGGCACCGGGCAGTGAGGGGAAGGTCGGAGAGGACGCCGGGCCGGGGGTCGGGGGCCGGGGACGTTACCGATGCCCGTAGTGGACGAGGAACATGGCCAGGAGGATGCAGTTGGGCGCGCTGCGGAGGCGCGGGGCGGACTCGCTGGCGTACTGGTAGAGCGGCAGAGCCAGCGAGGGCAGCTCCTGCACCACCCAGGCGGCCCGCGCCGGCACTCGGACCCTAAAGCTGGGCGACGCGTGGCGGCCGTACGCCAAGTTCGTCTCACGATTCCGCGCTAAGACCGCGCAGCCCACGGCGCACTGCAGGTAGGCGAGCGCGGCCAGCATGCGCTCCTCGGCCAGCAGGAGCTCCTCCGCCACCGCCGTCGCCATCGCCGGGGCTGGGTAGCGTGCTCCATGCCCCAGAGGCCGCGGCAGGCAACATATAAGGCGGTGGCGCGGGGGCGGGACGGGCGGCTACCCGAGTTCGGCACTGCCGGGACACTGCAGACAGGGTTCTCAATCCAGGCTTCTCCAGGGCAGCCGGGGCTGTGGGCGCGGCCCCGGGGGCGGGGCGAGCACCTGCGCGGGGAGGGACCTGCAAGCGCCCCGCCCACTCCGGGCCGCCGTAACCCGGCGCCGCTCTGCGGACTGGCGGCCTCAGGCTGTCCGCGGAGGTCCCTGAGACCGCGTGGGAAACCCGGGCGCTTCGCTTGGAGACGCCTTCATGGCTGCTTCCTGGAGGCTTTTTCCGCCTCAGAGCTGTCCGCGGTTTTCCCTCTCTCGCTGCTTTTAGGGAAGACGGGTTGTGCGCTTTAGGCTTATTCTTGGACGGTCCCCAAAGGCCCCCGAAAGGACCAGGCCCAGACACGTGGGGCCTCAGTTTCCGGCCGGAAGTCCCGGGAGCTGTAGGGTCTGGCCGTGGCCAGCCGGTTTGTGCGTGCTGCGTGTGCGGCCGCGTGGGCTATGGGGCGGCGGTCGCGGGGCCGGCGGCTCCAGCAACAGCAGCGGCCAGAGGATGCGGAGGATGGCGCCGAGGGCGGTGGAAAGCGCGGCGAAGCGGTAGGAGCCGGGACCCGGCGGGCGGGCCAGGGGCTCCTCGTGGGCCTCCCGGACCCCGAGGCCTCCGAAGCGGCGGCGAGGGGCAGCTCCTCGGGCCTCGGGGTAGACGTCGCTTTCCTTTCTCAGGGCTGGGAAGGAGGCTACCCCGAGATCGTCAAGGAGAACAAGCTGTTCGAGCACTACTACCAGGAGCTCAAGATCGTGCCCGAGGGCGAGTGGGGCCAGTTCATGGACGCTCTCAGGGAGCCCCTCCCGGCCACTTTAAGAATTACTGGTTACAAAAGGTAGGGGGGCAGTGCCTGATGTTTTGGGAATTGGGGCCAGGATGCTGGCGGTTAAGGGCGATGGTGTTTTCTCCGACAAGTGTTACGATGCCAGAGAACCGTGGCGTTTCAGCGGTTTGGATTCAGGAAGCATTGAGGTGGGAGCACAGGGTCCAATGAAATGGTCACGGAGGTATTGCAGGTGCAGGGTTAGAAGAGGAAATGAAAATGGGATCTGAGGAAGATTCGGTTCCTGGGGAATCTTCCAGGAGGGAAGCTGAGGGTCTTACCTTTTGAACGTAAGAGAATTTATAGAGAATGCATAAAACCCCTTGGTCGTTCCCCCCTCCGTCCCACCCCCCCATCTTTGTTGTTACATCTTTCTAAATGAGTCGCAAGTGAAACTAAAACTGTAGGTATACTTAGGAGAGAAGGAATGCAGTGTTGCTCTTAGGGATAAACAGTGTGGATTGCTTAAATTTTGAAGGGATACAGTGTAAAAGTAGTGACTGAAGAATGTTTACTCTCCATGCAAAAGTTGGTTTTAGTTTTAAAATACTTGCAGTCTTAAATTTAAAAAGATACAATGTATTAGCTTAGCTTTCTAGATCAGTTTGAAACTTTCTTGTTTTTCAATAGCCATGCAAAAGAGATTCTCCATTGCTTAAAGAACAAATATTTTAAGGAATTGGAGGACCTGGAGGTGGACGGTCAGAAAGTTGAAGTTCCACAGCCACTGAGTTGGTAGGTACCACAATGCTTCATGCCGATTATTTGTTTGGGATATTAATCTCTATCACTTGAATTATATTTCTTGGTACTGCATTTGCTGTTTACATGAAAGAGCCTGGGTATACTTGGCAAACATCCTAATGTTTTAGTGCCTGGTGCTTTTATCAACATTACATTGGTATCCAAGTTTTCAGGCGATTTGCAGCTTTGAGTCACTGAGTTCAGCCAACTCTTCCTAGTACATCCAACCTCTTCCTTTATGTCACCACTTCTGCCAGCTCCATGTTACAGCCCTTGTTTTCTCATCAAAACTGTTGCAGAGTGGCTTCTTTGCCTTCAGAAAAAGGACAGACTTGGCTTGACAATAGTCTCCTGGTAGGTGGTCTCTTAGTGTTTTCCATTACAGACAGGTTACCACTGTCTGCTATAAGGTTGTCTCCTGGTACTTCCCAGTACAGACTGCGCCAGCCAGTGTAGCATTTCCGAGTCTTGGCACCCATGCGTACTGCTACTCCAGGAGCCACCTCTTTCTTGACTTGTCCTGCAGGTGCCCTCTGGGTTACCTATTCCTCATGGCTCAGTTCTAGTCTCAGTTGTGTGAAGGTGATCCCGTGTGCTGACAGCGTCTTGTAAAGATACTTGGAGAACTCCGGAGGTGCCAGTCCTTCGGTTGACTTGTAAGTGGAAAAGACGTTATTATTAACTTTGAGGTATTGAGTTCTCAGAAAAGAAAAGTAATGCACGAAAAGGTGAATTAAGCCTTTGTTTTGAGACGGAGTCTCACTCTATCGCCCAGGTTGGAGTACAGTGGCATGATCTTGGCTCACTGCAAATTCCACCTCCCGGGTTCATGCCATTCTCCCGCCTCAGCCTCCTGAGTAGCTGGGACTACAGGCGCCCGCCACCACACCAGGCTAATTTTTTGTATTTTTAGTAGAGATGGGGTTTCACCATGTTAGCCAGGATGGTCTCGATCTCCTGACCTCATGACCCACCCACCTCGGTCTCCCAAAGTGCTGGGATTACAGGCGTGAGCCACCGCGCCCTGCCGAATTAAGTGTTTTGCATCAACTTTTGAGGTTTTGACTCTTCCAGTACGTAGTGTTATCTTTCCTTTCTAGATAACCTCTAGTGTTCGCAAATCGAGGTCAGATTTTCATTAATCATGGGGTACAGATTTGCTTGCTTTTCTTTCATTGGCTATTTGGATTTTCGTTGTCTATCACAGATAAGCTTATACATTCACAATGAATGCTGACTGGCCAAACATTAATTCAATTTTCAGCCAGTATGAAGACCAAATATCACCATCATGGAGTGTGTTTCTGGGATATAGGAATAAATATGACCAACATCGTGAAACCCCATCTCTACTAAAAATACAAAAATTTGACCGTCATGGTGGCACACACCTAGAATCCCAGCCACTAGGGAGGCTGAGGCATGAGAATTACTTGAACCCAGGAGGTGGAGGTTGCAGTGAGCCAAGATCATGCCACTGCGCTCTAGCCTGGGCCACAGAACAAGACCCCATCTCAAAAAAGAAAAAAATAATAGATATGCCACATCTCAGATGTTTAAAAGCTTGAAGGGTACAGTGTAGGAAAATGATTCAGGTGCTAGGTTGCTGTTAGTGGTCACTAATTGTCCACTGTAGTGAGGTCAGTGGAAAGGGTAGATATTTTTCAGCCTCTAGTTATGGCATTGCTGAGAAGAGGTAGCCTTCATGAGATCAAGCTTTTCTTCCTCCTAGTAACTAGTAACTAGGTTGTAGACTTTTCTCAAGTCGTTTGAAGATTACATTGACGACATTGATTATGTTCTGCTTGAAGTAGAGGTCTGATACTGTAGTAGTCCGTTTTCATGCTGTTATAAGGACATACCCGAGTAATGTGTATATAAAGGAAAGGGGCTTAATTGACTCACATTTCCACATGGCTGGGGACTCCTCAGGAACCTTAAAATCATGGCAGAAGGTCTCTCTTCACAGGGTGGCAGGAGAGACAATGAGTGCCGAGCAAAGGAAGAAGCCTTTTATAAACCATCTGATCTCCCCCTGGAAAACAGACTCACTTGTCGTGAGAGTGACGGTTCACTGCAGCCTCACAACGTGAGGGAAACTGCCCCCGTGATTTAATTATCTCCACCTGGTCTTGCTCTTGACACGTGGGGAATATTACAATTCAAGGTGAAATTGGGGTGGGAACACAGAGCCAAACCATATAAAATATTTTAAGAAGACAGGATTATGATTCTCCTTGGGCATGTTTGTATTTTTAACAGTGGTGGATGTATGTGCTGCTTCACACAATCACCTGGAAACATTTGTTTCTAAAACCTTGTGTATAGCAGCACAGAGATGGGATAAGAAATGCTTTTAAGATGAAGTTCCTGTCCAGGAGGAGGGTTTCAGCACGCGTCTGTAGGGAAGAGGTGTGTTCTCAAGGCACGTCAATGTGGGCATTTTCTTCTGCAGGCTCCAGCAAACTAGGAGAAACCATGCGATGTTAATAAGCCTTGCTAGTTTTTTATTACTCTCTGCAAACTACAGTTAAACTTTGATTCGATCAGCCCTTTTAACATTTAATAGCTGCTTTTCCACCTTGTTTGTTGAACAACGTGTCTGGGTATGTGACAAGGTAATTACCAAACTCTTAGAATGTGCAGGTTGTCTGTAGTTGAAGAATGAAAGTGAATCGCTTTCTGCCAACAGCCCGTTATGTTTTTGTTTGCTTTAATTTTCTAAACACACAGCTGAAGGGTATGAACAAAACATTGTATGATTTGGGTTTCTAATACTTGGCTTTTTCCAAGTAATGTATGTATTAATGTATGTATCAATAAATTTCCAATGATAATGTATCAGTGATGGTTTCTGTACTTTATTTTGAGACAGGGTCTCACTCTGTCACCCAGGCTGGAGTGCAGTGATGTAGCCTTGACCTCCCAGGCTCACGCGATCCTCCCACCTCAGCCTCCCGAGTAGCTCAGACTACAGGTGCATGCCACCATGCCTGGCTAATCTGTTTATTTTTTGTAGAGATGGAGTTTCACCATGTCGCCCAGGCTGGTCTTGAATTCCAGGGCTCAAGCGATCCTCCTGCCTTGGTTTCCCAAAGTGCTGGGATTACAGACGTGAGCCACCATTCCTGGCCAATGCCAGTTTCTTGGCAGCTTTATTCTCTGAACATTTATTTATTCAAATTCACCTGTCAGTTTTAGGATACTAAATCTCTCAGCAAGCAAGTAAAGCAGAAGCTTTTCAGGACTTCTGGTAGTTTTCTGTATTGCTCAAGATGCAGAAATAGAGCATGTAATATTCTTCCCAATCCTCTGGTACATAGTGAAATATAATTTAGGAAAGTGTTTTTTGGAACTACATTTTCTAGAAGGAAAGTTATGTATAGTACCATAGCTTGGGCCAATTTCATTTTTTTTCTTATATTCGTAGACTCAGAACAATGAGAAATTATCCTAAAGCATTCTTTAAAAAGCATTGTTTTGACAACCAGTTGTTCAGAGTGCATCTTATTGTCATTCTATTTATGTGCTGTTTATGTATTTATTTTTT